TCCCTCTCCTTTCTGACCAGGGAAGCGTTGAGACAATTCTGACGGCAGGATTCTGACCACTGTGTAATCTGTCCCTCGGACCATGAAATAGAGGGATTATGCTTCTCTAGCCACGGCAGTCCCAGAATGACAGGTGTACGTGGAGATTGGAATACGAAGAGGTGGATAAGTTCGGTGTGAAGGGCTCCAGTGCATAATTGAAGGTCCGTGGTAGTGAATTGGATTTGGCCAGGGCCCAGCGGGCGGCCATCTAGCGCTGCCACTGCCACATGAGACGTACAGGGAACAAGAGGAATATTATGGAGTTTTGGCAAAACTAGTGTCAATGAAATTTCCTGCAGCCCCTGAGTCAATCAAAGCCATAGCCTCAATGATCTGCCCATTACATTTTAAGCTGACTGGAATCTCTAAAGCAGAGGAAGTACTGACATTCAGACTCACCGGAGAACGATTGCGAGGTGGCCGAGTGGGACAGGAAGCTCTCATGTGTCCAGATAGTCTGCAGTATAGGCACAGATTCTGGCGAATGCGTCTCTCTCTCTCCTCTCCTCTGAGCTGAGTAAAGCCGATCTGCATGGGTTCTGTGTCAGGAAGTGGCGATGACGCGCCGACTGGAGAGTCGAGTCTGACGACGAGAGTGAAGGAGGTTGTCAATCCGAATGGCCAGTTCGATGAATTGATTCAAGGATCTCCCCTCATCTCAACAGGCTAATTCAGACTGCAGCTCCATGCTCAGACCTCTGCGGAAGTGTAGTTTGAGAGGATCCTCCGGCCACCCTGTTTGAGCAGCGAGAGTGCGGAACGAGAGAGCGTAATCCGATGCCGAACCTCTGCCCTGGCGTAACGATAACAGCTGTTCGCCCGCCTCCTTTCCATCAGCGGGATGTTCGAACACCTCCTTGAACCGCTGGATGAAGGCCGGGAAGGAAGGAAAGACAGCCGGATTCTCATTCCAGCCCACTCCAATGCCCTTCCAGTGAGAAGCGAACAGACAAATGCGATGGAGCTGTCGTCTGTGGGATACAACATGGGTTGTTGGTGAACAAACATGGAACATTGGAGTAAGAAACCCTTACATTTTGAGGGTGAGCCATCAAACTTCTTGGGGAACGCCAAACGAGGGCTGGCGGTGGAGGTAAGTGAAACCGGGGCTTGAAATGGTGGATTCGAAGGAGGGGTGTGAGCTTCGGGTGCTTGCAGACGAAGGGCTTGCAAGGTCTTTACCATCTCTTCCGTTAGCGTGGTAAGTCGGCTTAATTGTTGCTGGTGTGTGGCCAGAACCGATGCTTGAGCAGATACCTCTGTGGTGAAGTGATAGAATGCTGCTGGATCAATTTCCGGCGAAGTCTTATGTAACAGAGAGGCAGTGGCGTTAGGATCCATGTGCAGCTTTATTAGTTCACAAGGCAGGTCATACAGGCATAGATCGGTAACTGGTGTTAGACACAACGAAGGCTGGGCAGAATCGTAAACAGTGTTCGTGATCAGGGTCGAGGCAGGCGGCAGACAAACAAGAGCATGAATCAACAAGGCAGGCAGGGTCAGAAGAGGTAGGCAGCAAGCAATCGTAAACAGTCCAGGTAATCAACAGATAATCAACACAGGGAAAACACTCAGAAATGTCTGCAAGGCAAAACAAGACTTTGCAATGAGAGCAGGGAAGGCACAGTTTAAATAGACCGGGCAATAGGAAACACCTGTGCAGGTGATTAGTCTCTGGCATGGGGCATTGTGGGAATTGGAGTCCGAAGGGATCGCTAGTACTCCGGTGATGGTTCCCTCTGGTGGTGATCGGAGGGAGCCACAGAGGCTGAATTTGTGACAGCCCCTTAAACCCAAGGTGCACCGCCCCCGGTAATATTTGTATCTTTGTGTCTGGGAGATCAGAAGAGAAATAAATGAATTAAATTGTTTGATTGGTTTATTACGTTTACATTTACATTTTTTTTTTTTTTTGCATTTAGCAAACGCTATTTTACAAAACAATTTGTCCTCCTAGTTAATAGAAATCCCTGTTCTGAACTCAACTGCTCTGAGGACGAAAGGTGCGGGATGAAAAATGGTGTTTATGGCTGTTTGTGTGAAAAGGACCATCACAGACAACAACAACATCATGACTCTTTTGGTCGGTATCAGTCCAGAACTAAATGTGAAAAAAATTAATTAGTCATTAATTACCTTGGCTTTTTTTCTCTCAGATTTCTCAGAAACCTGTGAAAGCAGCTCTGGCTCCATGTCTGTGTCTCGCTGTCAGCTCTTTGAGGCTGGTTTTCCAGCTGACGTCTTACACCTCAATGATCCCAGCTGCAAAGGAACAGTCAGGAATGGCAGAGTGGAATTCCATTTTGATAATGATGAACATATCTGTGCTACAAATCTTCTGGTAGGATTATGTATTATCTATTCAAATACACCATCCAAACATTCGTAGTGCCTTTTAAAACCAGCAGTTGGATTTGGAGTGGGATTTGAACAATTGGAGAATCTCTCTGAGACTTTGAGAATATCTATGGAGGATTATTTAATACCTTTATTTAACCAGGAATATACTCACTTTGATTAAAACCTCTTTTCCAGGAGCGTCCTGGCCAAGATGGGCAGCCGAGTTTGCATATACAAATAAACAACATAGTTACAACATACATTACAAAACCAACATATAACCGGTTAAAAACAATTACACACCATTAAGTTGCTCTCTAAATTACATAATAAGGACTTAAAATAATTATAAGACACCAAGTTTTGTAACTTCATCTCCTTTTGGCGAAGATTCCAATCTGAGGCGGCAGCATATTTAAAAGAGGTTTTAGCAAGCTCAGTTCTGACAAAGGGCACACAGAGATTGTAATTTGATTGAGAACGTAATGAATGATTTCCAAATAAAGTCCTTTGTATAAAACAACAGAGATAATTTGGCAAATGACCCAAAATTGCCTTATATATCAACAAATGCCAGTGCATTTTTCTCCGAATTCTCAAGGAAGGCCATGCAACTCTTTCATATAATTCACAATGATGAGTTAAAAATTTACAATCAGTTATAAATCTCAGAGCACCCACGGTAAAAAGCATCCAAGGAAGAAAGAAGGTAAGAGGGGGCATTCTGGTAAACCACATCCCCATAGTCGAGAATCGGTAGAAATGTAGCGGACACTAGTTTTTTCCTCACCTTAAATGGGAAACATGTCTTATTTCTAAAGTAAAACCCTAACTTCTTCTTTAATTTTTTACTCAGATACTTAATATGTGAACCAAAACTTAATTTGTTATCAATGATAATACCCAGATGTTTGTACTCTGACACTGAGGTAATTTGACTCCCCTGAGAAGTTTGAAGGACAATAGAGTTCTCTAAAGAAGTTCTAGAATTTGAAAATAGCATACATTTTGTTTTTTCAACATTTAAAACCAACTTCAAAGCACAAAACCTGTTTTGGATAATATCAAAAACAGACTGTAATGCAGCCACAGATTGTTGCTTAGAGGGAGCTGAACAGTATACAATAGTATCATCTGCGTAAAAATGGAACCTTGCTTTATCAATATTAAAATCGAGGCAATTTATACAGCATATATACTGAATAATAATGGTCCAAACACAGATCCTTGTGGAACTCCCTTGACAACCTCTAAAAGATCTGACTGAACACCTTCCACCTGTACACATTGGGTTCTACCCATTAAATAAGCAGTGAACCATAAAATAACATGTTCTGATAGTCCTACCCATCTAAGCCTATCTAATAATATGTTGTGATCCACAGTATCGAAGGCCTTTGATAAGTCAATAAAAAGACATGCACAATGTTGTTTATTATCTAATGACTCCACGATATCATTTAAAACTTTTAAGGTGGCTGTAGTAGTACTATGTCCTTTACGGAAACCAGACTGATTATTAGACAGAATGTTATGACCATTTAAATACTGTGTCAACTGTTTACTTACTAGATTTTCCAAAAGTTTTGAGAGAATACAGAGCTTAGATATAGGTCTATAATTATCCATTGAAGAAAGATCACCCCCTTTTGACAGAGGAACAACAAACGCTGATTTCCAGATCTTAGGAATTCTATTAGTTATTAATGAGAGATTAAAAAGATATGTCAACGGAAAAGAAATAAAATCAGCCGCTAGTTTTAAAAACAGCGGGGCAATATGATCAGGACCTGGCGGTTTATTCACATTTAATTCTTTTAAAGCAGAACAAACATCAGAGAGAGAAATTTCTTGGAAAACAACTCTCTTGTCCTTAAATTACATTCAGCTTCAAGAAATTCTAAATCAGAAATCAAATCATTACTTATTGGAAATAAAGACCCTGATAGAATAAAGTGACTGTTAAAACTATTAAGCATTTGCTTTTTATCTGTAATTTTAGTAGAGTCTGTCAATATACAAGGGGGAAGCTCTGTAAATGTTTTGTTACCGGTTAGGACTTTAATATTCTTCCACAGCTTCCTAGGATTTGTCAGATTTTCTGTAGTTTTATCAAGAAAGTAATCGGATTTAGACTTTCTAATCGCTACTGTACACTTGTTGCTAAGCTGCCTAAAATGTAGCCAGTCAGAATTTAAATGTGTTTGTCTGGCCTTGGCCCATGCTGCATCACGCTCTTGGATAAGATCACATAGGGCAGTTGAAAACCAAGGATTGTCCCGGTGTTTAACTTTGTTTTCTCAAAGGTGCGTGCTTATTAATAATTGGCATAAAACTATTATAAAAATAGTCCCAAGCATTTTATCCCAATCAATTTGAGCGAGATCATATAAGAAAGATTGCTCATTAAAATATTTCATAAAACGCCTAGTTATATTTCTCGGATTCTGCTTGGGTAGCTTCTTATCTCTGGCTACTGCCACAACACAGTGGTCACTGATATCGTTTGCGAATACAGAAACTGAAGAATATTTATGCAGAGTGTTTGTAAAGACAAGATCTATTTAATGTCGATTTTTCTTGGAATTTCAAATTAGGCCTAGTGGGTGTATCTACCAATTGAAAAAGATTACGACTATCACAAAACAATTTAAAATGATCAGATATTGAGTGTGTCCAATTCAAATTAAAATCACCCATTAAAATCAGTTCCTTGTAATTCAAAGAGGCCAATTCAAATATATGAATATTTGTATCTTCAGTAGACTTCAGAAGATGCTTTTGCTAAACTAACACAATACAACAAGACGAAGCCATTAGCTAACAAGTCATTTAAAAGGTACTTTAATTTAAAAACCTGTAATATTGAGTTGATACATATTAAAAACACAAATCAACACATTCTTTCATGTGAAAGGTTATCCCGTTTCTTCAGGAATTAAAATGTAGGCGATTTTACAACCAGATGCTGCACAATGTTGTTGCATTTTGATACTCATTGACTGTTATTGTGAATGACGATCCACAGTATCGAAGGCCTTTGATAAGTCAATAAAAAGACATGCACAATGTTGTTTATTATCTAATGACTCCACGATATCATTTAAAACTTTTAAGGTGGCTGTAGTAGTACTATGTCCTTTACGGAAACCAGACTGATTATTAGACAGAATGTTATGACCATTTAAATACTGTGTCAACTGTTTACTTACTAGATTTTCCAAAAGTTTTGAAAGAATACAGAGCTTAGATATAGGTCTATAATTATCCATTAAGGAAAGATCACCCCCTTTTGACAGAGGAACAACAAATGCTGATTTCCAGATCTTAGGAATTGTATTAGTTATTAATGAAAGATTAAAAAGATATGTCAATGAAGGAGAAATAAAATCAGCCGCTAGTTTTAAAAACAGCGGGGCAATATGATCAGGACCTGGCGGTTTATTCACATTTAATTATTTTAAAGCAGAACAAACATCAGAGAGAGAAATTTGTTGGAAAACAAACTCTCTTGTCCATAAGTTATGTTCAGCTTCAAGAAATTCTAAATCAGAAATCATATCATTACTTATTGGAAATAAAGACCCTGATAGAATAAAGTGACTGTTAAAACTATTAAGCATTTGCTTTTTATCTGTAATTTTAGTAGAGTCTGTCAATATACAAGGGGGAAGCTCTGTAAATGTTTTGTTACCGGTTAGGACTTTAATATTCTTCCACAGCTTCCTAGGATTTGTCAGATTTTCTGTAGTTTTATCAAGAAAGTAATCGGATTTAGACTTTCTAATCGCTACTGTACACTTGTTGCTAAGCTGCCTAAAATGTAGCCAGTCAGAATTTAAATGTGTTTGTCTGGCCTTGGCCCATGCTGCATCACGCTCTTGGATAAGATCACATAGGGCAGTTGAAAACCAAGGATTGTCCCGGTGTTTAACTTTGTTTTCTCAAAGGTGCGTGCTTATTAATAATTGGCATAAAACTATTATAAAAATAGTCCCAAGCACAATCCACATCTGGAATTAAAGTAATTTTATCCCAATCAATTTGAGCAAGATCATATAAAAAAGATTGCTCATTAAAATATTTCATAAAACGCCTAGTTATATTTCTCGGATTCTGCTTGGGTAGCTTCTTATCTCTGGCTACTGCCACAACACAGTGGTCACTGATATCGTTTGCGAATACAGAAACTGAAGAATATTTATGCAGAGTGTTTGTAAAGACAAGATCTATTTAATGTCGATTTTTCTTGGAATTTCAAATTAGGCCTAGTGGGTGTATCTACCAATTGAAAAAGATTACGACTATCACAAAACAATTTAAAATCATCAGATATTGAGTGCGTCCAATTAAAATAAAAATCACCCATTAAGATCAGTTCTTTGTAATTCAAAGAGGCCAATGAATGCATTATAGAATGTAAAACACAGCTAGAAGCTGAAGGAGGTCTGTAACAACCAGCTAAAGTGAGCTGAAAGGTCTTAGACACAGAAAGATTTAAAGCTAATAGTTCATACTGTTTAGTTATTGACACTGAAAGTATTTGTCTGGCCTTAGCCCATGCTGCATCACGCTCTTGGATAAGATCATATAGGGCAGTTGAAAACCAAGGATTGTCCCGGTGTTTAACTCTATGTTTTCTCAAAGGTGCGTGCTTATTAATAATTGGCATAAAACTATTATAAAAATAGTCCCAAGCACAATCCACATCTGGAATTAAAGTAATTTTATCCCAATCAATTTGAGCAAGATCATATAAAAAAGATTGCTCATTAAAATATTTCATAAAACGCCTAGTTATATTTCTCGGATTCTGCTTGGGTAGCTTCTTATCTCTGGCTACTGCCACAACACAGTGATCACTGATATCGTTTGCGAATACAGAAGCTGAAGAATATTTATGCGGAGCATTTGTAAAAATAAGATCTATTAATGTAGATTTTTCTGGGAATTTCAAATTAGGCCTAGTGGGTGTATTTACCAATTGAAAAAGATTATGACTATCACAAAACAATTTAAAATCATCAGATATTGAGTGCGTCCAATTAAGATTAAAATCACCCATTAAGATCAGTTCCTTGTAATTCAAAGAGGCCAATGAATGCATCATAGAATGTAAAACACAGCTAGAAGCTGAAGGAGGTCTGTAACAACCAGCTAAAGTGAGCTGAAGGGTCTTAGACACAGAAAGATTTAAAGCTAATAGTTCATACTGTTTAGCTATTGACACTGAAAGTATTAATGATGCCTCAAGATGTTCTTTGACATAAATTGCTACCCCCCCCACCCCTTTTTAACCTATCTGCTCTAAAAACCCTATAACCAGCAATACTAATGTCGTTGTCTGTGATAGAGTTATTAAGCCAGGATTCAGATATGACTATAACATCCGCATTTGTATTTTTAGCCCAAATATACACTATATTCAACTTAGGCAACAGACTACGAACATTTAAATGTATAAAACCCAATCCAGACCTTGATCTCAACTCGACTGGGGTAGTAAAGTTTGAAGCAACGTGAGGTCCTGAGTTTGGAGATACATTCCCAGACATTAATAACATTATTACTATTAAACTCCTTCGTTTAACTGAATTACTCACTCTAATTCTAGTCATCGGCCCAAAACAAAAAAATATATTAAGCGTACAATAATTTACCTCCCTAGATAAAGTGCATCTCAAAAAATCTAAATACATAAAATTCATGGGGTACAACATCCCATAGTGTTCTTCAAGAATGACATAGGTAGTAGATACTCCATAATATGTCCAACTATCAAAATTTACCAATGATGAATTATACGATAAAAATGGACCTGAAGCAAACCCGCTGCCATTTGTATATACTTGACAAAATGTCCAAAACAAGCTTAAAAAGAACATGCTTCCGGTGGTTAAACACCGCATACTGTACACAAGCAAGTCGACGGCCGCAAAAGTCCAAATAAGCCCGTAAAACAAAGGCAGACACGTACCAGTCTCTTGTGCTCTTGACGAAGATCCCCGCTGAACAGCCAATTTAGACCCAAAATGCAGACTTGTAGACTGATGCCTTTGCGCAATGTAATAAGCATGAGCAATTCAACAAAAACAGTCAGATTTAAATCCAAATCCCGATCAAACAAAGCTTTGTGATCTTAAAACTCCAGGATTCAGGCTGAGACGGCAGCACACAGTCATGCACAGATGAGATGACTTGATCCGGACGACTTGTAGACAATACTTAAAAAAAACAGTCAGATTTAAATCCAAATCCCTATCAAACAAAGCCACGCGGGCCCAGAACTCCAAGATTCAGGCTCAGATGGTAGCACACAGCCAAAAAAAAAAAAACCTTTGGGCCCTTACATTTGTTACAGATTGATTCTTTGGAGGGCCCAAACAGACCACTCTAAAGACTACTCAAAGTCTCCAAAAGATTCAGTGGGGAAGGGTGCACAAGACCTCACCACAAAAAATGGAACTTGTGCCCACATTCTCCACCATTAATATATAACCCACCATTATTTCACTTGACCGTTTTTTGTGTGTGTTTCTAATGTTGCTTTCATGAAGTTCTTTGTAATAGAAATTAAATTTGAGCTAAATTACTATATATATGTGTTTTTTACAGGCCAACGGCACCCACTTCATCTATAGTAACTTTATTCTGGGGACACCGAGGTCAGAAGGTCTCATCAGCAGAGAGAAAATCCTTAAGCTTTCTTTCAGCTGTGTTTATCCTCAAACACAAACACTTTCCATGAATGGGGAAATCAACCCACTGGAGAGGTGCGAGTCAAATACAAATTCTGATTTTAGCTGTACTGTTTTATTAAAGGAGTAGTTCACCAAAAAAAAATGTTTTCTCATCATGTTGTTCTAACTCTGGAATTTTATTGGTCGCACTTTTCAATGCAGTTAGTCCTCATGGGGACTTTCAAGCTTCAAAAAGAAAACAAAAGCACCACAAATACATTATAGAAATGGTCTATGTCATCTGTATAAATCATTTTGAGTAAAAGATCAGATGAACAAATCGCTTCCAATTCGGACATCACTACTCCTCTAATGAGCTGTCATGAATATGTCAAAGAAAACATTGTGGATGTGAAAATTTTCAGTGAATAATGATGATAGTTTTTGCGTGAACTAATCTTTTAAGCAGAAAAATAAATGTGTATAAAAAATATATATGGTAATATTTTTTTTAAACAAAGATGAAATATTTTACCCTTAAAACTGACCTGTCCATTATTTCAACAGTGTTGTGCACAGGACTCTTCCCGCTGGTGAAGGCAGATATCAGGTTCGGATGATTCCATATGAGGATGATGAGTTTACCCGGCCCTTCACTGGTAAAGTGGATGCAGAGCTTGACCAGAAGATGACTGTGGAAGTTCGTGTCGAGGGGGTTGACAGCCGTCAGTTTGCCCTGGTGTTGGAGACGTGTTGGGCTACACCTGTGAATGATCCTGATTACAGTCTCCGCTGGGTAAAGCTGTTTCTATTCCTTAAAGCTCAGTCTTAACTCACTGTAACATTTTTAAAAATAACTTTTGATCTGCACATATTGAATAAATAATATTCCATATTCCTTTAGGATGACCTGATATATTATCTTTCAGTATTGCTGTACTAATGCAAAGAATTCCATTTATTATACATAGAATGCAAATGTGTGATGATTTACAGGAAATCACTTTTGAGTTGAATGTCTTTAAAGTGAAAGAATTTGATTTATTTATTGTCATTATTGCTATTCTCAGGTGTCCCAATCCAAATGATGACACAGTGGAGCTGCTGCAGAACGGCATCTCGACATCCAGCCGTTTCTCCTTCAGGATGTTTATCTTCCCTGCAAACTCCACTAAGCTTTACCTGCACTGTGCTGTTCACCTGTGCCTTCTGTCAAGCAATCGCTGCTCAATGGTGAGTTTGGAAAACCTCTCATAATTAATAAAACTGTGATGATAATATGTTTCTGTGTAGATATTGAACTAATGTATGAAAATATACTGAATGTATCTTCATAGTTAAATGTAGTGGCTAAATTGTAAATTTTTAAGAATTTACCATTGACACCCTGTTGATCAAACAGTAAATATTGGAAGAAAAATTGGAAGGGAAATGCTCTCCTTAATGTCCATAGTGGTAAGGTTTGTACTCTGCTGGAGACTTTGTGCACTCCTTTATGTTTCATGTTTGTGCAATGATATTTATCAGGGATTTACATAGCTGGATTTTTGCATTTCTCTTTTAGGACTGTAAATCTGAACACCACTGGAGAGAGCACAGGTCTCTGGACTTCCATGACAGTGCTTCCATATCCATGGGTCCTCTGATGTTGTCTGATAGGAACATGGGTGAACATTTCATTTATTTTAATCATTTGTAAATTAGGGTTTCTGTTGATTTCTGCTGGCAATACAGTACATTTCATTGCATTATATTCCCTGTTCACAGATAAGTGGATCCCAGAGAAAGTGAAAGTATCTGAGGCTTCTCATCTGTGTGGTTCTATGATGCTGTTGCTTGTTCCTCTGTTGAGTGTCCTGACCCTCTTTTAGTATTTTTCCACAACAAATGTGCAGTATGCACATGCATATTGTCTAGTGCCATATTAATGAATGTGGAACTGATGCCACACTGGTTGTGGGTTTCTATTATTTTTTTATTTCTTAGGTGTTTTTTATATAGCAAAATAAAATAATTATTTAGTTATTTATTTTCTGATTTGCAGTTCTTTTTCAATCTGTAACGTTTAGTAGTTTAAGGAAATACTTCTATAAAAGACTGAAATCTTTCTGAAATCTGAATGAAAAACTGAAATATGTGATATTGTGATAGTAGAATGATTTATTTCCTTAATACAGTTTTATTCTGACATTTATTAAGGTGTATAAATTATAGGGACATGAAAATGCAGTCTGAATGACCCAAAAGGTAAATGAGGAAAATGAAAATTGAAATAAATAAATTTGATGGTTAAGCAAAATGCGTTTTCTTGTTTTCTCTTTTGTAGACATTTCCTTTTAGTAAAACAAATAAGAGAAAGATTAATGACCAGTGTGTTATCTTTTTGCTGCTATCTTTGCAATTTTGCAGTTTTGTTTATCTTGCATAGTGATGCTTTGATAAAATGCATGAGAAGAGCCTTGCTATTTTACTTTCTTCTCTAAAGGTTTTGAAGAATGTTTCCACCCTGGTTTAATTGTTCTTTCTTTGAAGGTAATATGGGGTGAGGTGAGAGCCGATCCTAGGCTTCTGGGGGCCCTAAGCAAAACTTTGCGGGGGTGGGGGGTGTTTTGGTGGTGTTGTCTGTGAGTCCATAAAAAAACTATTTGAACAATTTAGCCTATAATAGCCTACTCTACAGAAATTGATTAAAGTAATTAAATGTAAAAATAAACCACTGCATAGACTTCACTATATAAATTAAACATAAATTGATGAACAATATTCAGTGAAAAGCAGTTTGTTTGCATAATAGGGCTAGGTGTTATAATCCCAATATTCAGGACCATTTAGCCACACCATAGAACATTTTCTCCTTTGCTGTGAGCAGAACACCGAGACACAGCAATTGTTACGCTCTGATATTGGTTCAGCAAGAATCCAGGATCATGGCCTAATGCCATGTCCATGGTTCTTGCCTCCATACCCAATAATCAGTCGTGAATTTACAATTGCTTTACACATGACTGGGGAACAATAAGATAAAGGACTAGTATGGTAAGATGGATAGATGAAGATGAAAGGTACAACTCTTTACTGCAGTCACTAGGTAGGGATCCACTTTCCTTGATGCTTTGGTGATATGTTATGCTGTACTTGATGTGTAGCTACTTATCTTTCATGGATGTTGCCACCACAGGCTGATCAGACCCGGGTGTGTGTCACTTGGTTACATGGTCATTTGGCAGCCCACACTGTGTCCATCCACTTCACCCACAGCCAGTGGCAGCTTCTATTGGCAACAGTGGCAAGCATGGCCACTAAATTTTTTCAAACATTCCCCTCCAACCACCCAACAGGATGCCCGAATTATTATCTCCATTGCCATAGTGAATGCCAGTGGAGAGATGGTACAACCTGCCATTATGCCAACCTCCAGCTGCTGCCAGGTGGTGGTACTATCCTGTATGGTAATACAGACCTGAAGATCCTGAAACTAGGATTTGATCAACTTTGTTATCTGTTCTGGAACATGGAAGAAGTCGAATGCTGCTCACAGCAGCTTATGTGGCACTGTCCCAAAGGCATTGGCAAGATCTAAGAACACCACATATAGGTCTTTCTTCCACTTTTTGGCCATTTACAACTGGTGCCAAATCATGTTAGCATGTTCCAAACATCCTGAGAAGCCCTTCTCCAGGCTTTTGGTATCACCGCTTTTTCCATGCCACTATCATTAATCTCCAAAGGTACCTCAAATCTCCCGGGCATTCTTGTAGAGCTTGTATGGAACACCGTTGGGTCCAGGGGCTGATGCTGATCTTGCCCACTTTACCGCACTCTCAGCTCCATTTAGTGGGCCTTATGTCCATCTGGTGCTCCGGTAGTTGAATTGGTGGCATGTCTTCTGGAATGAAGATCGGCCTGTGCCTCTGATTGTCAGAATAAGTCTTCTTCAGGTGTTCCTCAGGATCCACTATGGGTACTTTAAGGATACCGGTTTTCTCCTTGCTAAAGATACTACTGACGAACTTGTAAGGATCTCTATAGAAGGCAGTCCTGGTTTGCTCCTTCTTCTTCTTTCTCAAGCTTTCTGTTCTTCGTAGTGATGCAAGGCAATGCTTAATATCTTTACTTTCTGCTTCAGTGGCCTTTTTCCACTGTTATCTCAGGCTCCTCCTTTCTTTCACAAGTTTGTCAATCTCTTGTTGTCTCCTGGACTTCGGCTGGCCTCCCAGCTCCTTCTGTGGCCTCTGGGCTTTTTTTTTTTCACTCCAAACCTTTGTGCCCCATAGGTGTAGATAATCTCCCCCATCTTCTCCAGTTTCCTTTTAGCATCTCTTTTCAGGCCTTCTAGCAGCTGAACAAGATCTGTTTTAATGGTTGTCCACTCGCAGCAGGACAGCAGCAGGTTTATACAGGAGGATGCTGTCATGGAATACACGGATACTGTCAAAACCGCTGGCCAAAATAAAAAAAATTAACTAAAATTAAATCATCGTTGAGAGCAAGGGGGGCCCCTGGTATTTCGGGGCCCTATGCAACATGCATACTTTGCATATAGGGAGGATTGGCTGGGGATGAGGTTCAGTCACTGGTTAGATTACCAAAAATATATATATTCTTGAATTTACAGCATATCTACAATTCTTATGTGTTTCTACTATTAAACGTCTTTGGAATGAACTACAAAATATTACAAATCAAATATCTATATTTAGAAGATTGCTAAATTTGATCTTAAAAAATCAGCAGTGCTGTCAGTCGTCAATGACCAGGTTATGTGACTTAAATTGTAAATATGTTCCTGCCAAACGTGTCATCACGATAAATATATGAGCTAAAGCATAAAGTATGAGCTGCTGTTGTATGTAGTTTAAACACATAAAAGTAGTGATTGTGTTACTCTTGGTTTCTGAGGGTTAATATACTAGTCATGCAAGAAATTCTGACCAGGTATGGTGTAGTATAACTGATATATTCAGTTGGTAGGTTTTTGAAAAATGAGGTCAGGGTAATATGATTCACCAATTAATGTAACAGATATACTTTAGCTAAAATTTTACTTCACATTTATTTATCATCAGCTTGCTTATAATGAACATTTGGATTAAATTAATTTCCTTTAAGTAAGAAAATATTTATTTGTTTAGAGAATATTCATCCTCTGCAGTGTGTCTCTATAGCATCTCTATGAGTTTTGTGCTTCAGTGAGAGCCAATTGGTATGATCAGCTTCTAATAACGTTCAGTTTTTTTTTTATAAATTCGATTTTTTTGCTTATGGTTAATTTTGACCACTTGTGAAAATGTGCATAAACTGTAATCACCAGAAATTATCACTGGAAGATAATGAAAAATAAAATAAAATAAAAACACTGTTAATGCACTGTCATGTACGATGTCATGTAAGTAGCTCTTGGTGAATCTTGATCAACTTGTTACAACAATTACTGGAAAAATCCACTTTCAGTGATTGACAGCTGCAGTTTGTTGACTTTACAGACTCATTGTCTGGTGGTTTTCTAAAAGTCCTACAATGTATAAGAATGACAATAAACCTGACTATCCAGACTATCCTGACTTAACAAAAGAGTAAAAATGTGTGATAAAGTCATACAGTACTGTAGAGAATAGAGGTGCTTTTTAGCTTTTTGTCTTTTTTTATGTTGGTGCCAAGTTTATTGCCGAGTAAGACTGAGGCAGAATCAATACAATTACAATGTAATTTGTCAATGTTGCACACTAGCACCTGTTTCATTTAGTTAATATTGTTAATTCATGATACCTAATGCATTAACAATAATTTCTTCATAAGAAATAAGAAGTTAAATAATGATAATTTACTTAGTTTATTTAAAATGTATTAGTATATGTAGGAGGTAATAACAGTAAAAGTATATAAAAAAACCTGTAATAGCACTGCTGATTTTGTTTTGTTAAAAAACTCACAAACAAATGGAATATTACAGTTATACTAAAGACTTCCAACAAGCATTACACATTTGAGAACAGGAAAAAAAGTAGAGTGTTTAATTGACAGTGACGCATCTGAAACTTTTACTGCTCATTTATCTATTTCTTGTTTCTTTTCTTTTATATTTGTATTAGTCTGTACATTTCCAGATGAGACATTACTGTCGTGACACATTAATGTGCATCACATGGTTTTTGGGACTTGGGTTTTTGAATGATGAGCTAAAATGTGCACTGGAGGAATGTAGATGTTCCATAAGCGTGTAATTCTGCACCTCCGGTAAACCTGTGAATATAGTGTTCACTTCCTTCAATTGCCCAAGAACAGACTGTATTCTTTACTTCAAATGAAATGATCAATCAACATTTGCCTGTTTTGCCTGCTTCTGTTTAATTTATGCTGTATTTATAAATCAACATCCTTGAATATTTGTTGTGTTTTCTCTTCATTTTCCCCCCTTTATTTTCTGTATCCAAATATTAAATACCCTTCCTAATTTTCTTAATTGTAACCTGCTACATACCTAGCATGCTGTTTCCCAGCTGCTTTTATAGACATTAGTTTACTTTAGGATTTAGGTTTGAGTTGTTAGTTGCATTAAAATATGTATGTATTTCTGTATTTGTGTTATAATTTTGTAAGTTTGCACATCTAAAAATCTCCATCTTACAGCCACTGCCTGCATCCCTCCAGTGGTCTTTAATTAATTAAATGTAAACATTATTAAACATCATTTACATAAATTATTTACAAACAGAATTAACTAACACATTATTAAACTAATTAGCATTAATCTTTTCTGTCACCTTTTATAGTACTGTTTTTGTAAAGCTACTTATCAAATCAAACTTGTCATCATTATTTCTAAATGCAGCTGCACACAAGGAAACAATCAGTTCAAATAACAAATCTTCATGTTACATGAAAGACTGGTTTAAGACATTGAGACATTTCTTCTGGTTCCAGTAATAATCCGGCCAATGTTATTAATAAAGGCACTGATAAGTGTGTGAGATTGTGCAGATCATCATCACCACTGTATTCAGCTCCTCGAAGAGAGAATCTCCCTGAGTTTGCTCTGCAGCAGTTATGTGTACATTTGTTGCTGGGAATCTCACAGGAATGTGATCTGATTTTAGGCAAACATATACATTAACTATTGTTTTCATTATAATATCAGAGCAACCAGTACACAACAGAACTGCACAATGTAGTAAACTGATTAAATGGCAAGCAAACCATAGCTACACTCTTACATAACTTTAAAAGAAATTACAAACTGGTTTAAGTTATTGTTTAGAGATTACTCTTGGTTCCAGTAATGATCCCCCCACATGTATTAATAAAGGCACCGATGAGATTGTGAGAGCTGCATATAATCATCATCACTGTATTCAGCTGCTCGAAGAGAGAATCTCCCTGAGTTTGCTCTGCAGCAGCATTTGATCTCAGGTAAAGTTATTTCTCTTCATTTCATCACATTGGGCTCTAATAACAAGATCATTGGCCTTTTGACTGATTTAAATTATTTCACAAAATGTTCCTTTTTATATAAATATTTGTGAACATTATGATTTAAGTTGTTTTTACTTATCTGCACAATACACACATACACACACAAACATACACAAAATAAATAAATAAAATATAACAAAATAAATATAACCAAATGTTTCATGTGTGTGTTGTATGTGTGTGCAGGTGCAGGAGGTGCCATTCGTTACAATGAGGTTTCTGATCTCACTGTGTGTGTCACTACTGCTGCTAATTAATGGTGAGTGTTTCACAATCTGTCATGTGCATTAAAATAATATTGTTAGTAGGTGGACTAATCTTTCTTAATTTTAATTCATTATGTTGATATTGTGTATTTAACAGGTGAAATAATCAATGGACAATAATGTTTTACTTACATCACTTCTTTTCCCATCCTTTGCTGTCCTTTACAAATATAAAAATAAAAGAAGCATAAAATTAATAATTATCTGAAAGAACTTTTTTTCTTTTTGCACTTGCACAATTTTATTATTTTTATTGTGTTGAGAAAAAAAAAATGTCTTTGGAATTTTTGACATTTATGAAATGCACAAATTCCAAACACTTGCTAGTTATTGTGTCGAGTCCCTTTCATTTAATTTCGTTTAATTTCATTTAATTTCATGCATGTAGATTTAGCAGACCTTCAATGATTAACATTATGTCATAATTGTAATAATAACTGTATATATTTTTTTTTAATTTTTATTTTATTTTTTTTTACAATGAATTAATGAATGAATAAATAAATAAATAAATATTCATGGATAAGAAATGTGTTTTAGACAGAAAAAAATTATCTTCATGTCGAAAAGTTAGGTTTACAGGCTCATAAGGCAATTTTATCTCACAATTCTGAACTGTTTTCTCATAATTCAGATTTACATCTCACAACTGTGACTTTCTGCAGTAACTGATAATTTATACAGCATACTGCGTATATTAATATGTGTTACAATTTAGAATTGGAGTAGTCTTCCATTCAAATGTTTTTCATGCTATTGAAAAATCAAATTTTTGCAAAGATATACAGATGACTAAATTGTTGATTTATGTCTATATTTCACTGTATTGAAGTACTATATATCA